TCACCCCCCCCCCCCCTCCCCCCGTTAGAGTGAATGAATTGAAGACATGCACTAAACAAGTGTAAATATTAATTTTAATAAAGATATTAAAAACTATACAGTACCACGTGTGATGTATCTTACAGTAAAGATGATGTCCACTCCCGTGAACATGCGCGAACTTTGTTTACGTTTTGAACTGCTATATTTGTAAAATATGACATACTAACTGAATATCTAACACTTTTCTGGTTCGCTATACTTGTAAATGAATATAAACTGTACGTTTCAATTCAAAAAAGTTCGAAAGATGCAAAATTTGGGCAATGTTTGCATCCGGGGTCCCCTTAGTTATGAGCAGAACTGATACGCAGAACGGAGTGGACATCATCTTTAATACCAATACAAAATTTAAAAGAATATACCTCAGCCTTTGCGCTTGTGTAACCGGAGCTCTGTTTAGCAAAAAAAAATTTCTCGTCTGTAAGTAACCGAAAGAAAAGGGAAGACATTTTGATTTTATGCGGAGGTGAAAAGTGCATCAAGTATTGACACGGAGCAGAGCAACCGCAATCAATTATTCGAAATTGTCAATAGATTACCTACAGGTTTTTACTAAAATTAACAATTAGCTGTCGAAGGCGAGGTGATTACAAGCCTATATTCACTGAGCTGCGAAACAGCAAATTGGGTATAGTCTTGTGATCGCCGAGCCTGAGGTGACTAATTATTTTAGTACAAATTCTAAACTTTGGTCTATGTATATCGGATGATGGAAATGTTTTGCCTCTTTTTTCCAGATAACGTAAAGATTTTAACGACATTCAGATTCTTTTGCGTGCATTTTTTTTCGGCTTTTTATAACGTAAACATTATTTAGTAGCTAACAATTCGGGAAGCCGTTTTGTGTTTGAAATTTTTAAATTCTTAAGCCTTGTTTCCTTCTCTTAATTAGCCAAACTTTGCTTGTATATGAACATGTTTTTGAACTTTTAAGACTCACAAGTAATATTTTTTAAGTCATTCTTGGCAGTTCACAACATTCAGTTTTCTTTTACGTGATTTGTACTAAAACAATTAGACAACTCAGCCTCGTTGTCTCTGAGTGAATAGTCAACTTGGCTTCGTTTGGTTGACCATTCGCTCATAGACAACTCGGCTTCGTTCGGGTGGCTGCATGGAAGTTTCCAGAACTCACCGAGCGAAGCGAAGTGGGTTCGAGAAACTTCCAGCCACCCGAGGTGCATCCAATCTCGGACTCACCGAACCTGCAAGTATGTTTGGTTTTTATCACATGCCATTTCGGTAAAAAGTACTAAGGAATTTACGCATTTTAGTATATAATTTCTTGTTTGGATAACTAACGTACATTATAGCCGTCAACATACTAGGCAAACAAACAAACTTAGGTTTAAATTGAAGCGAAAATAATTCTCTACAATATTCCTTTTTCTTGAAAAGAGAAAATGCACTCATTCTGCGAAAACAATGCCAAGATTTATATAAACCTGCCCGTGCCGAACAAATTTCGGCGGCCGTCTTTATTCTCTTCCACTTTGAATACAGAATTAATATTCCATTTTCATCAAACAAAATTTAAAAAATAATTATAAAACAATTAAAAACAGCTCATTTATTTTTTATTTAAATCTTCGTCTGAAATTTGTCCAAATCGCTTCATAATGGCCGCCGCCGAAACATCGATCTCAAAACCCACCTCCTAAACATACGTCAGCAGGTGGGTTCGAGATTGAACGCACCTCCTCTTAGCCAATAGGAAAGCCGCTAATACGCTAGGTCTGAGATAATATATGAAACTCTTTTTCGAAACAAATGCGAAACTTTAGTTATAAAAAAAAAAGAGCTTTAAAATCCACAACGATACTTAAACGTGATGTTCAAGAAAGCGATAATGTAAATTTGTTTTTTTTTCCAAGAGGTTATCTGGACGTTCTTGATTGCCGTACGCGATGGTTGCATCGCGAACATTGAGATATAATATACTTAGGCAGCGTTTACACTGTACCGTTTTCGTAGCGTTCTCATATTGTTCTTAATCCTCAAGGGAACGCAAGACAATAGTCTAGTTCTCTCGAACAATACGAGAACGCTACGAAAACGGTACAGTGTAAACGCTGCCTTAGTTTCCTCAAGTATGTGCAGTGTTTTCTGCATAATCTAGCAGGAGCACTTCTGAAAATAAAGATGACTGAAATAATGAGCCATCTCTGAGTGAAATGAGCAAGGTCGAAACTCCACAAACATACCACCATAATTTGAACGGGGGTTTTGCGAAAACATCGGACGATAGCGGCAACTCGCACAGGACGAGTTTTGGCAAACATTTTCAAATTAATACCAGCAAGTCATAATCAGTAATTACCTTGAAATATCTTAGGCCCGGTTTAGGCGCCGTGCTTTTCATGAGCCGAACTTAATACAATGAATTAAGCACATGAGAAGCACGGCGTCTAAATCAATTAAGCACTGCACTTAATATTAAGCACGGCTAAATTAAAAAGTTCGTCTGGTTCAGGCGTGCTACACGGCTGAAGCACATGTTGATTTATACTGCCGTGCTTTACATGAGCCGTACCAAATGCATAAATTATGATAAAATAGAACATTTATAGTACGCGTGCGTTGATTGGTCGAGAAGCGTGTTTCTACACGGGAAATTTCCCGCCTAAACTTACAATCGTAAACAAAACAATTTTAATGCAAATTAAGAATTGTTTAGTACAGTCAAAATACAAAAACCTTACCACTTCCGCTTCTGGCTTGTTTTGTATTTCTGGAATTTGTTTTATTTTTTCTGTAGTGATTTAATACCGCTTTATCGGCAAATATCGCGGGAGAATTTCCCTTTCTTTTCTTTATATACGTCAATTTGTAGCAAAGGATACACCTTTCGTTAGACTCTTTGCATAAAAGTTGCGAAATTAGGCTTATAGTGATATTTGCTGATAAAGGCAAAAAGGGTTTCTTGCAATAAATTGATGGAGCAAATGTCTGAATTATTACGCAATGAGAATTTGTAAACATATCGAGTCTACTACAAATCTTTTTTTAGTTATATTATGAAATAAATATAAAACATAATGTATGACCCATAAAGTTATAGAAACACTTGTAGTAGTTTGGGAGAACTCGAATAACGTGGAAAAACTCGCCCTAAGCCTATAGATCTCGTTTCCCCACACATTATATCCAGGCATTATGCTATGTTTGTAGTAATAAGGCTTTTCAAAAAGAAATTGAAATTTTTAATAACCGCAAACCTGCAGACACTCAGAAATGCCAAGATTGTATGTGATAAACCCTTTTTTCTTATTATGAAATGTCACTCGCCCCAGGTTTCAAAGTGAAGCAGCGCAAATTATTAAGTACGGCTCATGAAAAGCCTGCCTGTCTAAATCAAAATTGGAAGTACGCCTATTTTACTCGAGTAAAATATGAATTAAGTTTGGCTCATGAAAAGCACGGCGTCTAAACCGGGCCTTAGCCAATTTTACACGTAGCTAATAATCCACGCTTAGATAACCAATAGCTGACACAGTAAAACAGTATATCAAACATAGTTTTATATGTTGTAATTGAAAAAAAATCATATGCCTTGTCGTTTCCGAGTTTTTCGATTATTGTACTATACACGTCAGATGTGATAATTGTACACATCACATATCGCAAAAAATGCCAAAATTAAACCTAAAATTTCTCCCTTTTCCTTGGGTACAACTTTTTAAAACAGCAAATTTCCTAATATTGGCTCAACAGGTACAAACACGAGATTGCGTGGGAAACTCTCTAAAGTAATTACCACAAACAATCGATATGGTCAAAGACTTTGCCTAGAAGCGTGGCATATAAATATGAGTAATCATGCTTTGAATAGGGATGACGGTGCCTATTTGCCAGAGGAATATACTGTATGCATCTCATTGGCAGGTGACATCATCCCTTGGGTATTTAAGAAGCCACGATTGCAATTTTAGATCACCCCTGATGAACACACTAGACTGGAGTGTCGAAACGTTGGTCTTGATTACAATTCGACTGGGCTTTGTAATAATTTATTTAAACCAGAGTAGCGAGCGAAACATGAATTCTCCTATATTGTACCAACTAAATCCCCCCCACCTGATCCACTATACTACAAATAACATAACAAAGTGTACAAGCTATAACAGGGATGGATTGATGCAGGCGGCACACATGACAAGCACAACTCAGCACCAGAGCATGCAGAGGACCCTCATTCTTGAGGTAGAACAAGGAATAATATCATTAATTTAATTAATCATGATGAGTTACAATGGCACCCAACACATGTCAACATTGGACCTGGAATTATGCCGTAATAATTTGTTTAATTATTTAATAACTATTTTCTTAATTTCAAAGATATCTAAATTTTCAGTTTGATCATTAATCAGTGTATTGGTTTCGGTTATTTTTCAAACCCAGTTCAGCCTACATCTGAACTGACACAAGACAATGCACATTTAACTAGTACATAGAAGTGATAGAACATATAATATTACTTACAGATCTTACTTGATTATAATTATCTGAAGTTCAGCTAACACCTAAAAACAAAAATAGCAACAAAACTATAAGTTTCCTGGACAGTTTGAGACGAGAAAAAATTCTGAAAATCATTGCAAAAAATGCAACTATTAGAGGTATGCAATCCCAAGTGCAGCACTTTTACAATCACAGCCCACATGCCAAGTGCTAACCTCCAGAACAATACTGAAAACATTTATTTTTAAAGCATACCATATCTGTACAGGATTTTGTTTATGTAAACAGTTACATTCCTGATGAGCATTTGGTGTATTAACGTCATCAAGAGTGCAATGCAATATTGGATGCCAGTAATTTGGTAAAAAACAATATCGAGGGAAAGTCAGATGAACAAAGCTTTCATTAGCAGGAATGCAACTACTTGAAAAATATAAGGAGAAACTCAACGTTTTGAGTGAAAGTCATTCGTTGTCTTCGACTAACTCCCAACAAAGGCCCTTAGAGGTAGTTTCATTCCTGCCAACGAAAACTTTGTTTATTTTTACACTACCCACACTGGCACAAACAGTTCAAGATTAAAGTCTGATGAATTATCCGATGAGTATTAGAATTTAAAAAATTGTCAGAGGAAACATGTTTTGGGGCTAATAGGCAGACCCCTGGGCACAAGGCAAGTTTTAGCTTATCGCTAAAAATCAATTGGTCAATAATATAGCCATGGAATCCGAGGTGTAACTTAACACTTGCCCGCTTGCCTGGGGCAAGTTAATAATATTATGATGGGCAAGTAAACATTTTGTCTTGCAAGTTGCCTTGCCACCAAAAGCTGGATATCTTGAAGTTTATTTTATGTTTTCATTGTCTGATAATTTTTTTATAGCGCATGTACTGTACTAATTGTGAGCCAAAGCTAGATCTGAGGCAGTATAACATAGCCATATAGAGCAGTGAGAGAACGGACGGACATGTTGTTCCCCAAAATTTATACCACCTACCTAGGTACCCCAGTGCATGGCCATTGTCTGATGGCAAGTGAAGTTCAGGGCAACTAATTTTCATGTCCAATTTGCCCTGAGGGCAAGTGGTCAAAAAATGAAAGTTACACCACTGCATGGAATAGTACTAATATAATACTAATAATGGCAATGATAAATAATTAGATGATTTAGATCATAGTTATATGTATAGATAGAGGCTATTTAGTTTATTTTCTGCTTTAAAAAAAACATTGGCAATGGGTTGGGAAAAGTATTTGCAAATTATGTCTGATGTAAACTCAGATAACATACTCAGTAAGTCTCAGTTCACACAAACAAAATGGTATCCCTATCCCATCATTGCATCAAAGCAAGTTACTCATCTCTATTAAAGTAGGTGTTCAAGGTTCATGTAAAAATATATCACTCGTTAATTTGCAAGACTCTCTCTGTAAAATTGTCTGGTATCAGACAAAGTAAACAGGCTTTTTACACGAGCCCAGGTAGCCAGAATGAGATGTATGCGAGGCAAAAATGTCAGCAAGGAAATTATATTACATTGGTGGGAAAACTTTTTACTTGTTTACAAGATAATAGCTGAAGGTTTTCACTGTTCAGTCAAATTCATGCTTTATTTGACAAATTTTCAATTTAAAATTATTGCATCAGCAAGATTAACTTAAGAAATAAAAGTTAAAGGGTCATTCCAGAAAACATCCATACCACCCCCACGGAGGAAATAGGAAGTTAACCCCCCTACCCCCTTCGAATGTCCTAATACATTTAGTATTATCAGAAACAATTTTTTCTCCCCTCCCCCTCCGGATGGCAGAAATTTCCTCTGTGGGAGGAGTATGGATCTTTTCTGGAACAACCCAATCAAGAAAAATATTCCTTTTTTACGAGACTGTGTTTGTGCTAGCCTGGTTATCCGGGCTGGTGACTTTACATCATGGACAAATTTCAGCCCGACTCCAGGCTATCACTCTCTCCTCTGGCTTTTTAACAAGGAGAAGCTTCAATTTCATAAGTCTAGCCCTCTATCCCTTGCTTCGGCAAATCACCTTGTTTAGGTGAGCTCTGCCGAGGAGACAGAGGCTATCAGCTATTAAACAGGCTAGCCCAGTAATGGTTGAAAATTTGGCCAACATTGCCAAAATTAATGAGTGAATATATTTTTACATGAACATTGAACACCTACTACTCATTTTTTTATTTATGAATATAACCTTAGGCCCTGTTCACATGAACCCGGGACAGCGTATGTCTCGGGGCAAGCAATTGTCACGGGACAAAAATTGTCTCGGCTCCTTAATAAAAGAATAGTGCTGTTCACATGATATTTTATTTGCCCCGGGACAAGAATTGACCCGAGTGCCTCGCCTCTGTAGACAGGGACACTCGCCTAGCCGGGACAACTTTTCCTCATGTGAACACTTTGCCCCGGATCCTCATGTGAACACTTTGCCCCGGAGCAACTTTGTCCCGGGATAATTAAATTTTTTGTAAAACGATCAAAATCGCGGCTAAAATTACATTTAGAGCACGTTGGACTCCACAAAAACTTGTTATCTGATTGAAGATACCATTAGAAATCTATACGTGACATCTGATTCTAATAATATTAAAATAAAATTGTCGCTAATATCATGTTTGAAACCAAGAAGTGTAGCATGCTACTCAAAAAATTTGATCTGGTCAACCAGAAACAATGAATTGAGCACATTTTACCACGGCTGATAATCAACTACGTTCTATTTGTAAATATCATAACATAAAATACGACTTGCATTTATCAGAATGTTTTTTATTTAGCAATATTTCACCGTTTCACGTTGGCGGGAATATTTTATGATTCCCGCGTAATGTATTTATAGGCATGACCCGCGCTAGTTTTGTTCATGTAAACAGAAGATATCAGTATCCCGGGTCAATGACTTGTCGCGGGGCAGTTGTTTATCCCGGGATCATGTGAACAGGGCTTTAGCACCATTATGTTACCGGCAAAGAATTTGAAAAACATTTTCATTTATATATACAGCCTATGATTTTAATACAAGAGAGAAATTCAATCTACTGTATAGACCCATACCTTGCCTAGTTGCCTTGAATCTTCTATACTTAATATAAGCAAAATTCTCTGCTCAGAGCTTTGGTCTAAAACACAATAACAAATATACTGCCATTTAGAAAACTATTATTTATTAAAAATATTATCTGTAATATACGAAGGATTAGGTCGGTATGGAATAGATATATATATATTGTCACACTCTGTGATGTGCGATCAAAATCAAATCTATCACAATCAATTGAAGTGTAAATAAAATATAAATCGCTATAAAATATAAAAATACTCACCAAATATTGAGCTTTATTTCGAAAATACGATCCGTTTTAGTTCACCGAATAAACGAGACTTGATATAAACATAAAATCATACAAAAAATCGGCAAACAAGACACATTTTCCACGCCAAAAATTCAAATCCAAACATCACACTTCGATCATAGTAGCCCAACAATTAACAATTATTCGCCGAAGGCGAGGTGATTATCGGTGAATAAAAACCGAGACGAAGTCGAGGTTTTTATTCACGATAATCACCGAGCCTGAGGTGAATAATTGTTTTAGTATAATTTCATAGGTGATTATTTGGAAAAAATAAGAAAATACACATTTCTTTGTCATTTAATTGACAAAAAGGCTTCGGCCGCCATTTTGAAAATCGCTTAGGTGATTATCGCGTAATAATCACCTCAACGGCAACCAATCAGCGTGGAGAATTTTCAATAATCACCTATGGAATTATACTAATCAGTGTTATTATTCATTTCTGTTCAATAAAATCATACTACTACTTAGTCCCCGACTGCATTGTTTACGCGCGGTCAGATCATGTACGTTTCCCTATAGTAATATATGCTAAGGTTGGCAGCTAAATTCCTATATACGCACGTAGCCCTGAAGAAATAGCACAAAAACTTTAAAAACACGCAATAAAACACAAACGAAACAACATGAAAGTAAGCTCAGATACTTTCACTAAACTGCCAGTCAATTTTTTGTCGAAAACAACATCGAAAATAACGAAAAATAAGCACAGTTTTTTATCAATTTTGTTGAATTTTCGCTGTGACTATGCGGGATGCAAGTTACCTGATACTGGTATTTTTTTTGAATGACGACTGCGAGATTTCATTGGCTTTGAACGTTTACGTCAATCACAGGAAAATCCATTTCAGGGGGGGTTGTTGAGTGTTTTTCATACACGGAGCTATAAAAAGCAAGGAGAAATGTTTTGAAAACAGGATTGCTGGCGAAGAAAGACAAGAAAATTACATCTGCGATAATATTAAAAGTTTGCAATTATAGAAAGCCAGAACTTCCAACATTATACTTGCTTCAGTCAGTATAAAGATATAATTTTGATGCCGTTTCAGCCGTGGCAAACTTATAGTTTCCCTTCGAAATGCAGCGAAAACAAAACAAAACCTTGTTGCTTCAAATAATTTTAATAATTCTTGACAAGAAAATGACAACAAACAATGTAGATCAACACAAATTAACAATATGGTGAGTAAATATTGATATCATTATTTATAGTCCGTCGTATTGTTGTTGTTTTACATTTTGCAAACTAAGAATAAAATAATTCTTGTTGTCGAATTATACTTTTTACAGTAATTTATGACATGCAAACCGAGAAAGAAACAGAAAACACCAAGCAAAAAGCATTTAATACAGTTTTTGAAACGTAAAAATATAATTTTACTCACCATATTGTTATTAATTTGTTCCTTATTTGAAGCAACAAGGTTTTGTTTTGTTTTGTTTTCGCTGCATTTCGAAGGGAAACTATAAGTTTGCCACGGCTGAAACGGCATTAAAATTATATCTTTATACTGACTGAAGCAAGTATAATGTTGGAAGTTCTGGCTTTCTATAATTGAAAACTTTTAATATTATCGCAGATGTAATTTTCTTGTCTTTCTTCGCCCGGCAATCCTGTTTTCAAAATATTTCTCCTTGCTTTTTATAGCTCCGTGTATGAAAAACACTCAACAACCCCCCTGAAATGGAATTTCCTGTGATTGACGTAAATGTTCAAAGCCAATGAAATCTCGCAGTCGTCATTCAAAAAAAATACCAGTATCAGGTAACTTGCATCCCGCATAGTCACAGCGAAAATTCAACAAAATTGATAAAAAACTGTGCTTATTTTTCGTTATTTTCGATGTTGTTTTCGACAAAAAATTGACTGGCAGTTTAGTGAAAGTATCTGAGCTTACTTTAATGTTGTTTAGTTTGTGTTTTATTGCGTGTTTTTAAAGTTTTTGTGCTATTTCTCCAGGGCTACGTGCGTATATAGGAATTTAGCTGCCAACCTTAGCATATATTACTATAGGGATACGTACATGATCTGACCGCGCGTAAACAATGCAGTCGGGGACTAAGTAAATGAATTAAGAACACTGATTGTTGGGCTACCTATGCTTCGATATATGGGGGTGGACCTCTGTTATATTAAGGGGCGGTTCGGTGCGCTCAATGTATGACTGGAGTATCATGTAAATCCAGTGAACTGATACACAGCCAGAAACGCGCAAGTCGAAACAGATCTGCAACAGGTCTGTTAAATCCTGTTGTCAACAAGCCGATATCTGGATGCGTTCGCTCGCCTTGTACCTGTCTGTTCTCACAGGTCCGCAACGGCCTGTGTCGTAAAAGACGAGGACCAGGTTTGTTTGGTTGAATAT